CCAATATCCCTCATACTTCGCCACTTGCCAGATCATTCACTGACACGATTGTGTCAAACTTGAGGCAGGCAACACTGCCAGTGGATCCGGTCTACCACTCTGGAGATTCAACAGTGTTCGCCTTCAAAGTCAAATCCGCGTCCACAACACAATCATCAATCAACAAACAAACTAGGGGTTGCGCACTCGTGCCCTCACAATAAGTCAATCAATTTCTTTGTCGTTCGTTCTACCTGTCCTCCGCTCGGGTCTAAACAGCGGTCGGAAGGGTGGTGAAATTGTTGGCCCAATGCATGGGGAACGGGCAGTTGTTGCTTGCGAAGGACTGGTAACTGGCCGTAGGCGGCCTAGGAGGATGCGGTCCTTGAGTGGAATTTTTTCAAAATCGAAACGCCGTAGACCACTTTTTTCGAATAGAAGGGCACTTCGAATAGACAAGGCATGCGTTGTATTCGAAGACAACATGTACCTTTTCTATTCTAATTGAATAGATTGACGTGCTGCATGCTACAACTCTCTCTCTCTCTCTCTCTCTCTCTCTCTCTCTCTCTCTCTCTCTCTCTCTCTCTCTCTCTCTCTCTCTCTCTCTCTCTCTCNCTCTCTCTCACACACACACACACACACACACACACATACACACACACTCTCTCTCACTCACTCACTCGCTCACTCACTCACTCACTCACTCACTGAAAGTTTGATGAAACAGTCTGGCACAGTCATGTTTTTTTAGTGTATAGCGAATATGACAACACACACACACACACACTTTTACTCTCACAGACACACGCACACACACATGCACACACACATGCACACACACACAAACACACACACACATACACAAACTTTCCCTCCCCCCTCCAAAAGTTCCACTTCAGCCCACTAGAGGAGGTGATATGAGCATCCCCCTATAGTGCTCCTGTCTGTTGGTGGGGAGCGGCACCTGCTGGAAACTGGGTCCAACTTCCCATGAACATTGTGAATAAAACACCAGTTGGGACCCCCCCCCCACACACACACTTGGAGTTGTGTATAGCGAACAGGACAAAACATAAACACAACATAATCACTGCCTTAGCCTTCCCCAACCACATCACTGCACACCCGTGCCCTCACCGTAAGTCAATGATTCAGGGTATAAACGCACCCCTAATGGCCTGCAAACTCAGGGCATACTCACATGGGGAACTGATGAAATCCCAAAATTTGAGGTAGTTTTCGGGTCACATTGGAGAGGCCCGCTACCTAAGTGTACTTTTTGGTGACCCTTTTGTCAGCAGCCTGCGGGGCCCCGAGAGGACCCTTTTTACCTTTTTTATTTTTCTTTCTCCGTGAGGTATTTCTAGAAATTCGTGCATGAGGGAAGCATTTGTGCGTGTTAATTCAGCATTGAAAAAAAAAGAGGAAAAACTAGGGAGAAGTCACGGTTTCACGATTTCGTGAATGTTGCTCCAAAGTGAGGAAAATCGTGAATGTATGCAGCCTAGTTGGGTGGGGATGTGTTGTATTTGAGGGATGCCTGAAGTGGATAAAAAACTGAAATCCTGACTGCACCCTAGTACCCCCCCCCAAAAAATAGGGATTTTTTTTTAAATGCCCCTCAGACTTCCGTTTATTTGCAGTATGTCCCTCCCATGGTCGACTTACCCTGTTGTGCCCCAGGGGCCTCTGAAGTTTCCTGCAGGCCCAGTGAGGCGTTCAACTTTTCAGCATGCCCCTGTGGCTGTTGGTGGCACTCGTGGCCCTTCCCCTGGCCCTGGGAAAGGAGGTACTGGGGCATACTGGAAATTCGGAACTGGTACTGGTAGGGGCATATTGAACATATTTTAGGCCCAAACTAGGCCAGGATTTTTTCAGAAATTTCAATCATTGTCAGAGGGACACGACAGGGTAAGTAGGCCATCAGAGGGGCATACCGCAAATAAATGGAGGCGCATTTCAAGTTTTTTTCCAAAAAAACCTCTATATATTTTTTGGGGCCAAGCAGTGGGAGTATGTGCACTTCTTGAGAGGTGCAAATGTCAGGGCCGCTACTGTGTCCTTTGTGGACACAGCACATGCGTGGCCACATGGGCACCCAAAGGAGCGAATGGGTCTCGCTCCATTACTATACACTCTCCGAATTTGGAGAGTTCAGCGTTGCTCCACTTACTCTCCACTATACACGTGTGGAATTGCTCGGATAGTTATCAGATATCGGTCGTAGATTGCACTTTCCATCGGTGTATAGTTCCCAGCCTGCGGAAGTGGTTACTCGGATACTCCTCGAAGGAAACCACGGACCCACCATGTTTTTGGATGGTGAACCTTGAGTCTGGACCGACAAATCAGACCGCTCGCCGTTTTGCACAATCCGCGTGCGCCCAACCACATTGTTGTGGGGATTACCATTAAGGTCTGTTGCCACTGCAGGCTGGTGTCCCTTTGGGATGCAAGAGCCCCCCCCGCCCCTCCCCACCGAAAGTCCATGGTGTTGTAGAGGCCAGTCACTGAGTGCACAGTGATCACCTGGAGCAGTGGGCCATGGGTGTCCAGGAATTTGAGACCACCTCCCATCCCATCCTCATGTCAATACTCCTAGCGCACCCCCTATCCCACTATCTTACCTCAGTGTGACCAGCACTCAGGACCATTACCCTACCAATGGGCAGGCAACTTGGACCGAGCAGCAGTGATAGGCACTAGGGCTGATAGGTTGCCCAGCCCTGGTGGAAGCGGATTCGGACAAGCCTTGTCAAACTGGAACTTCGGATGCCAAGCCCAGACAATCTACTACGGGCCCCAAGAGACTCTGGACCCTAGGTTCAGACAGGGTAGCACCCACTGAAGCAGTCTTACCATCCTTCCCCTAGCTTACCCAAGGCCAGGCGGAACTCGGACTGGCCTGAGCGACTTATATCCCTACCCTTACCCTAGGGTCTAAGCCTTATATAGCCACCAGACAGTTCTATCCGAATGTTGGGGTAGGAACCCCTTACCTGAACCTACTGCAGATACTAGACCCCACCCAGTGACAAGACCCCCTCAGTCTGATAGTTGTGTAGTTCGCAAGCTATGTGTATACCCGAAGGCTGTGTATGCTCCGTGATTCTATGTATCGAGATGTACAGACAGCATCATGTGTGGAAACTTGTGTATGTAGCTTGTAGGCCATGTATAGTTTGCAAGCTATGTGTATGCCCGAAGGCTGTGTGTGCTCTGTGAATCTATGTATCCAGATGTACAGGCAGCATCATGTGTGTATATCGAAGAGAGAACGGGGGAAGCTGGACAAGGACCCCCCCCAAGGTCCGAACTGAGCTCGAATTAAACCGCTCTTCTGCCAAGTACAGCGGTTTCTTTTTCACCTTGTCTTGCTGTGGGCGTACCCCCGCTTTGGTTTTGAGATCTCTTGGCTCAAACTTCCTCGTGCCGTTGTCTCCCAACCCCTAATTAGGGGATGTATTCTGAACTGTTCTGCAGGGCCAAACAGAAAAGCCCGTTTCTTCTTTTCTGCCTCCCAGACTTTGACTTCCTCCAATCCCACGGTGGAGGGAGTAATTATCTCCTCTGTATAAGTTAGTTTCATCTGGGGAGAGGGAACAAATGGCACTCTCCATTCTTCCACTTTCATCCCTTGGATCAGGTCAGGGCCTGCCACTTCCCACACTCGTCCCCATGACTCCTCTGCGTAGACCCATGTGCCGGCTGGATGCTCCCAGTGGGGGGATGGCTCCAATCAGGCTAGCCAAGTGCCTTTCAACATGATGAAGTCTTGGGAGTTTCTTCTGTAAGTTCTCTGGTGATACCCACTTCTCCCAATCCTCTTCCCAAATGTGTTTCACTTGGAGAATTCCTTTTTCTGCCCAGGACTTTCCAAAGCAGCCCAGGCCATCCCCTGCTGGGAAGGGTCCCTGATTGGGCTGGAAAAGGAGCTGATTTTCAAACAGGCTACCTTGTTTTTTCTTTTTTTCTTTTTTCCACTCTGACAGCTATTCGCAAACTCTCCGAAAATCTGTTTAGGGGATAGTAGTGTGGCGAGACCCAATACATGGTACCAGACGTCCCAGGTACATGACGACCTTAGGTCCCGGTGTGAGCATGCCCTCAGGGGTATAAAACGCACCCCTGACGGGCTGCGAACACTATGGGCCTCGCCGGAATGCTGACCAAGGGCATCGCCACGCCACTCACCGGATGTAAAAAGACGAAACCTATGGTGGGGGAATCTACCAGTGCTTTTGGGGTATATACATGCTCCATTTTGCAGATTCCAGGAGCGGTGCGCTGGCGAGGTCCCAAATGTCCATACATACATAACATAATTCAGGTGTATGTATTGTATCTTCAGGTAGGAAATGGAAAGATACGCCCGCCGTGCGTTTTGTCGTTTTCAGATTTGGTGAGTGGCGCAGCCAGCCCCTCTCTTTCCGCGCGCTCGGCGGCGGCAGAGTTCCGGATTCGACGGGAGTGGTCGAATCGTCGTTCGTGGTGGCAATCAGGTGAGCGCACGCGGGACGGGCGGGTGAACTGGGCTACCGCGGCCACGAGGATAATTCTGTCCGACGGCGCCGTGCGGCCGCGCATGTCGGCCGTCGCCGACAATGTTTGGCGCGCTTAGAGAACAACGACCAGCCCACGTGTCAGCGCCCCCAGCAGGGCGGCCGGCTTCGGTCCTTTCTGATATCCCAACGCAAGGAACGGAGATTTGTCGGGTGCAGGCGGGAGCCACAAGCGGCGGTGACACGTAGGCGACAGCAATTACAAGCACATAGAGCTCACAGTGGTGCTCGATTCTGTTCGTCGGTCTTTTCTGTTGAATTGCGCACGTCGACCTCTGGTCGAGCCGCGAGAGAGAGAGAGAGAGAGAGTCCATGTCGGGGGTCGCATCGTGTGTGGCGGGAGTAGTCCCTTGTGTGCGAAGAGAAGCGGAAGTCGTGGTTGTGGATGCCATGGAGGTGGATTTATGGCGGTGTGCCGCGTACACGAGATGATGATGAGATTTTCGGAGGGTAGAGTGAGACAAGGCAGCTACGTGCGCCACGTGTACTATTGTTGAAGGCGTCAGTGGTCAGGCCTTAAGACTGATCTATATATGAGCCTGATCTGTGTCTATATTTAGGCGCGTTTATGTGACGCACTGTACATATATCTATCGTCATCCACGTGGCCGGCCTTGTACGTAAGAGATGATGAACAGGCGGAGCTTTCCTTCTTTCCTTTTTTGTTTTGTCTTTTTTCCCCTTTGCGCTCTGATACACGGTGTGACGATATATGTATAACGCTCTGATAACTCTGTGACGATATATTGTCACACTGTGAATCTGTGACCAAACAGTTTGTCACAGCCCCTCGTTTGTTGTCCTCTTCTCTCTCTCTGCCTACGATTTACCGGGCAGTTCTATTTGTGACGATATATATTCTTGTGACGATATATATAAATACATACAAATTATTAGTAATCCTATTCTTCTTTTTCCTATCTTGCTTTTCCCGTTCTCAGTCCAAGCACCGCGCGCGCAGCTCAAAAAGAGGGACACTCAAACACGGAGTCCGGGGGCACGCTCACAGACATATCCTCTCACACGGAGAGAGCGATAGGGAAGGGGGAAGAGATGGCAGTCGTGCCAGCTCTTGGGGGGGCCACCAGTGTGTCCAGGTTGCATGGGTATCCCGACCGACTATCAATGCGTGCGGGTCCTAGCGGTGGCGGGGGGAGCGGTAGCGGAAGCGGCGCGGTGGTCGTTGGCGGGCCCGTTGCGCATGCGTGCGCCGTTTCTTTGTCGATGGATTCCGGAGGAGGAAGGGTTTTGGAGGCGCGCCGACGTCGAGGGGGAGGTGGCTGTCGCGCTGGCATCGGTAGGGGAGTGAAGCTGCTGCTCTCCGCTGGAGGGCGGTTATGGCGCAGCGGAAGTCTGAGCTCTTCAAGAAGGAGGCGGTGTACCGCTGTCGGGGGGCGATCGGGATCGCCATCCGAAGACGATCGCCGTGACGTATCGCCACGTGCCTCTGCATCGTCATCGGAATCGGGTAATTGGATGGGCAACCTTGTCAGCAATCGTTCAAGCGGCGGCTTGCCATCATCTTACAGCGAAAGCTGTCGACAGGTATGGCCGTTAAATCTCTACCCCTTAAATCTCCACCCTCGTCTATATGTATTTCTATATATACATGTGATATATTGTCACACTGTAAATGTGTACATGTATAATCATATATATATCTTCGTTTGCATATATGTGTCGTCAGGCCTTGTACGCAAGAGGTTGTGAACAGGGGGAGTTTTAAGGAAGAAGATAAAAAAACGAATTCATTTTTTCTTTGTTTTCTTTCTGTTTTTTTTTGCGCTTTTGCGCTCTGATATTTTTGTGACAATATATATTCTCGATTGTTGTCCTCATATGTATATACTAATATGTATCGTCTATATACATGTGAGATATGTATATATCTATATGTATATCGTCAAACAGAGCTGCTTCGGTAAACCGTAGGCAGAGAGGGAGAAGAGGACATATACCGTCAAACAGAAACTGCGCGGTAAACCGTAGGCAGATGGATCTATATATATATATCTATATATAATTTCATTTCCTCCTCTTCTTTACCTCTTTGCCTTCTGGCTGCGTGCAAGTGGGTCCTTGTGACACACGGGGATGGGGCCAGCCAGCGCTCTAACCTGTCATCCACGTGGCTGGCCTTGTACGTAAGAGGTGATGACCAGAGGTGATGTATAATTTCATTTCCTCCTTCCTTACTTCTTTCCTTTTTTTGGTTTTGTCGTTTTCCGCCTTTGAAAAATGTAACAACATGAAATAAAGAAATATAATATTTATTTAATTTTACAGTATTATTACTAATTTAAGAGTGTGCGAATATACAATAATTCCCGGCCTCGTGTTATTTTCATGATAATGGATTCCTCGTTTTTCCCAAAAAAAGAAAAAAAAAAAGAAAAAAATCCCTAATATCTAGTCAACGATTTAAATACACACATGCTGTACGTGAATATGTAAATAGACTTAAAAAAAAAAAAAAAAAAAAAAAAAAAAAA